AGTATGGGAGAGTAGGAGGGGCCTAAACGAGGCCCGTCATCGCGAAGTCTGAATGGAGCCTCAATATTTCTCATCTCCTTGACATAGCCCCGACTTCTTGAATCTCTTCTCAATTGCAGATGATACTCTCAACTGTACTATTATTGTTTGTGGTGGCGAACTGCTACCGTCTTTCACAAAAAGAGAATGAACTCTTGCAGGAAAGCTGCGGCGTGGGCAATATGGGTGAGTGTTCCAAGCAAAACGTGTCGGTTCCTTTCGTGGATTTGCTTGTGAACAAAGGCAAACTGTACTTTCATCGCTGACAACGGTCATTTCGCGCCTGCGAGCAAATTGAGTCGCAACCGGAATACTGTGCCACTTTCTCCGCCAGAAAGCGCACGAAAACGTAGCTGGAGGGTATTGATACCAGGGTGCCGTGCCATACGCCTACTATAGCCAAACGCGCTGCTGGTCAGCGTCCTCTAGCTTCTGATCGTTCTCTACCTCTAAGTACGCGTTCGATGCAGCATTTCGGTTTTCACACAAGCTCTGCGCATATTATTTTCATATCGACGCAAGCAAGACAGAAACAGTTCTTGGTGTAGTAAGGCATTTTCCCTGGTTCCACTGATCACGAGCATCTTGTGGAGGCCTGTATATTCCAGTGAAGCTACGCGTTCTGGGTCAGGCATCCGCTGAGGAATCACCAACGGAGGTGGGGGGGGGGGGGCGGAGGGTGGAGTTGTATCTGGCTCTCTGAAAGGGGTCGTATTTTGAGAAATCAGCAGTCAGAATTGTACGCAAAACAGCAAGTGTGGCATCATGTTTACAAGTGTTACTAGGTATGCTAAGGAAGTCGTGTGCGTGACGCCCCTCAGCCTATCAGTCATTCTGCTCATCAACTGACATTAATTACAGGTAGATGAAGTGTTTTGTAGGTATTACATGTTTTCTTGAAGGGTTTGAGGGGAAAAAAGCAAACACTCCCCTTATTGGAAGCGTAAAACGCTCATTCAGTTTGGAGCTGTATTTGGCGCTAGGTATTCAAGCTTATAGCAGATTTTCGATGCATATTAGGGAGCGCACATCCAGCTGTTCCCAGTTTCTTATGAATCCTCTTCAAAGTTCGATCACTGTGGACGGAGTCATGGCCTTTTGAATGGTCGCAACATGCGCGCAAAAAGTAGTTCTCTCCTTAACGGACAAGACCCTCAGCGGAGTACTTTCCTTAACCCATTCGTTACAAGGTCCGCCACTGGTGGTGAACATCGAAATGTCCACTCAGGACCACGTATAGTGTAGTTCGCTGCGGACGGTTGGGCGTGTCAGTGCGGCTGCGTTTGGCGCGGTGCCAAACTTTATTGAAGCTGGCAAGTAACAATACTGTATCATATCCTTCGTATTATTCGTCTTCTACTTTTTGACGCATGCGCTCTTCAACAAGAAGGCAGAGAACGGCTTTGATAGGGTAACACACTCACCTGGCTGACACGCCCAACCGTCCGCAGAGAACTAGAGTGTACACCCTATGTGGCAGAGGGCCTTCTCATGAAATTTTTAGAAACAGTCCAGGCTCTTTGAGGGAACTTTCTCAGTGAAACAACTCTACATACCTCCACTAATACAAGCAAACAGTGGACTGACGAGATCCTTTGCTTGAAAGGGTCCTGGGCACGATTCAACTAGCAGCGGCCCCCCCCCCCCACCCCCCCTTAGGCCTAAAATTCTCGGGAAATTCTGCCAGATAACTCGCTGAGGGGTTTGCTCAGTTGCCCTGATCACAAAATGTGACGTCCGTTCTTAGGCGAGCGCTGTTTGATGCCCTTTTGGGCCGCCAGTAAGGCGCCAATACGAATTTTTGAAAACTTGTAATTAAACTTTTGCGGTAAAGCCATTTGATGTTGTGGTTGCAAATGTGGTACTCATTCTTAGTGATGGTGTCAGTAGGCGCCAGAATGATGCTGGCGCCAACTTGGCATCATCACCTTTTTCAGCAAAATTCAGATAAAGTTGTATGGTAGTTGTTTAGTAGGACTTCGTTGCTCTGATTAGGAATAGGACATGCACTGTAGATGCCGGCGCCAACTGGTGCCACTGCGAAACAATTTGGTGCCGTCAGCTTTTCCACTCAAGCTGATGTTAAACTTCAATATTATGGTTACTCGTCATCCTTATTATTGATATGTATGGCATTCATTTTTAGCAGAAGCGCCAGCGTAGGGTACTATGGTCATCTACGCTATGCTAAGGCTGAGCTTCTGAGGAGTGAATCACTCCTCCGAGACTTAGGCTTTGCAGTGCGCCACATTCTGCTCATGCCATGTAGTGTTCTACAAAGATGAAAACTGAATATCATAATGCTGATATCGAATATAGTACCCCCCCTCACGCTAAAAGAAACTGATCAATGCTCTCACCCAATACAAGACAGATTCCAGCGGCCGGTGAATCCGTGTTACAGTAACCCGGATTGTCATTGGGGCGCGTTGTTAGATTGGAGCATAGCCCACTGGCCCTTTAAACATTCAGCCATGGAAGGTGCAGGTACATAGTTACTTTCTTGGATTAACCGCATCGAGAGGGATTACAGCACCCTTATTTCTGAAATGCAGGAACAAAGTAGGAGCAATGCAGTACAGTGAGTTGAGTAGTTAATGCTAAGTTCAAGTTGTCAAGTTGTTTATAGGTTTCTCTTGTTTGATTGTTGTTACTCTTGTTTTTTTGTGTAGATCATCTGCAGCATTGCAACCGCAACTACTAAGCTGCGTGCTATGTTCTAAATCTTGAACCTATACTCCATATTATTCACTTCTTTGGATATTTTTTTCGTTGTTGTTCTTTCATATTGTGCTTGTTCGTATATGGGTAACTCTGTTTGCGGAGCTCCAAGGGAATTCGCACCAATTACTGGTAGATTCATTTATCTATTTCACTTATTCACAGATACTCACTTAACACGGGATTATCACTTAATGCGGGATTGCTTACGATAGTTGCCGTCTCATTTGCTGCTAATCACTACTGTAATACTGTGTTGAAATAGTTTGAGAATTGCGCTCGTTTCAGCAGTGTATGAAAATGACTCGCTTATTGTATAAATACGATTTCTTTTACTATTTCATGAAACTTTTCATTAATAAGAAGTCATAAGTAAAAACTACTTCTGAAATGGTAATACTCATAGTCCTAACTAAAAGCTTCATGTTTCACGAGAAAAGCTGAAAACTCGCCTTTTCAACACATAATGGTTTGCTTGAAGCGAATGGCGCGGCAATTTCGGAGTTGCATTACCGTACTCCCGAGTTGTCATTGGAGCAACGGCCACAGCAAGCTGTGCCTCTTTCAAATTGTTAAAGGGATCGTCGACCCTTTAACAATTTGAACGCCACGCAACAAAACGCCTCGCTCCGCCCACCGGCGCGACGACCCGACGGTAGAATCACCACACACCCTGTTAAGAGCTCCAAGGTGATCACGAGTCCACTCTACAGTTTTGCAAAATGTTTTTCCTGAGGACAGTCACAACCTTTAAGAAATTCATCATGGCACAGTGGTGGTTGTGGAAGGTGATATAGCCAGCTGCAACGCTGATATGCGACGCAGCTATAACACAGTTGCAGCGGAAATAATGTCGTTTTGATCAGTCAAGTTTAGCTAAGTAGTCGCGTAATGGGGGAAGACACCTTTCTTTTGTGGAGAGGACGTTCGACGGGCTAATTTTTCCTCAACGTAATGCTTGACTCCATGCCATAACATGTGGAACATTTTTGAACATGACATGAAGTCCAAAGATCTCATCAAGGTAAGACGGGTGATTCGCAAGAAGTTTTTCATAAGAAATAGGGAGCGCTCTCTTCCTTACGTGTCTCCGGACATTTTTGTTGGAAAGGTCAAAAAAAACCAAGTAAAAGTTGTGATTTCTATTGGAAAATTATCAGTTTTATTGAAAAAAAGAAATTTCGGCTCCCCTACGGCGGACCTATGTGTTCTTCCAAGGTGAAGACAGACATACACGTTCAGGGCCTTCCTCAAGATTCAAAATAAATGGAGGACATCTCATAAAACCAGGCGAGTATCCATGGATGATCAAGCTGCGAATATCTGAAGATCTAGGACGTGAGTGCTTTCGTTGGATGGCTGTGCGAAGATGAGCCTATAAATGGATTTTAGGTGGAGAAGTTGATTTTCCAACTTGCAGTGGATTTCTAATTTCCCCACGTCACGTTCTTACGGCTGCACATTGTGCTACGAACTTCGACGGAAAGAAGAGCAAATATGAATGCAGGGGAAGGCTAAAGAACTACCAACCATCGGAAAAAAAGCCGGAAGACTTCGTCGTATATGTCGGCACCCGTTGCAACCCTCCTGAAAAATGTAATATAACGTATTCAGTTTCGAAGGTTGGGAATCGCTAAAATCCATTTCAAAAAAAGTTCAACACCTATGTACTGCTTGGCACCACTTCTTTTCTCTTCATCAGGTTTTTGTGGACAAAAAATGGAAGCGGTGTGTGCGATTCAGGATTAGTGAGCTATCGGTGACACAACACGACCTTGCTCTTCTCGAGCTCAGTAGAGAAGTGAGCAGCAAAGATGCCATTCCAATTTGCTTACCACACAGCCAACTTGCATTAGCAAAAGAACTCCAGGTCGCGGGAAGTGGTTCAGAAAGTCGTAAGTTTACAATATGTAATACAATGAAGTTTGCTGGCTCTCCTGTAGTAGCTCCCATCTTTTACTGCAACTTAGGACCAGAAAAAATATCGCAAGAATTATGAGGAGAATTATGAATCATGGAGCGAAGAAATTGCTCACCTCCACTCTTCTGCAGAATAGACTGGAAGAATTCCTTCA